CTAGCTATATAGATATACATAGATATACATAGATACTCATGTTATTCCATACTATGGGTTATTTAATTTCATTCTGAATTTAAACAGAAAAAAGACCACTTGCTTTCAAATTGATATAAGGGACTAAGGGGAGGTCAAGAAAAGTGAGCTTCAAACTGCGTTAATTTCAAATTAGGCGCTCACCAAAGAAACCAATTGTGATGCCAGAGGCAACGTCTGAGATGCTAGAGGGATCACCTGGAATGCTAGTGACATCACCTGGAATTGTAGTAGCATCACCTGGAATGCTAGAGGCATCACCTGGGATGCTAGAGGCACCACCAGCAATGCTAGTAGCATCACCTACTATGCTAGAGGCATCACCTGGGATGCTAGGGGCGACACTCGGGGAGCTAGTGGCGTTACCTGGGATGCTACTAGCATCACCTGGGACGCTAGTAGCATCACCTCGGATGCTAGTAGCATCACCTGCTACACCACTGGCATCCTAGGTGATGCCTGCAGTATCCCAGTGATGCTACTAGCATCCCAGGTGCTGCTACTAGCATCCCAGGTGATGCTACTGGCATTCCCGGTGATGCTACTAGCATCTCAGGTGATGCTACTAGCATCCTAGGTGATGCCACTAGCATCCCAGGTGATGCTACTAGTATCCCAGGTGATGCTACTGGCATTCCCGGTGATGCTACTAGCATCCCAGGTGATGCTACTAGCATCCTAGGTGATGCTACTAGCATTCCAGGTAATGCTCACTTTTCTTGACCCTAAGGGGACTAAGGGACTAAGCGGACTATTCAGTGGGAAAGCGCGTTTCCCCACTTAACACACCTTTCATTTCCGCGTCGCGGCGTGGGGGCGCTTCGCGCCCCCCGAAGAGCCGCGACCCATGCACTTCTCTGTGTACACCATTATTCCTACCGTTAATCCCCTTAGTCCGCTTAGTCCCTTAGTCCCTTAGTCCCTTTAGTCCCTTTGTCTTGGTACAAATGAGGTGTTATTTTTTTTTCAAAATTCAATTTGAAGTAAAGAAACCCATAGACTCGAATAACATGAGCATCTATGTATATCTATATAACTATATAACTGTGACTAAAACTGAATCTATTCCTATGAATAACATGGGTATGTATGTATATCTATATAACTATATAACTACAACTAAAACTAAATCTATTCCTATGAATAACATGGGTATATATGTATATCTATATAACTATATAACTGTGACTAAAAGTAAATCTATTACTATGAAGAACATGGGTATGTATATATATCTATATAACTATATAACTACAACTAAAACTAAATCTATTCCTATGAATAACATGGGTAGGTATGTATATCTATATAACTATATAACTAGAACTAAAACTAAATCTATTCCTATGAATAACATGGGTATATATGTATATCTATATAACTATATAACTGTGACTAAAACTAAATCTATTCCTATGAAGAACATGGGTAGGTATATATATCTATATAACTATGTAGCTACAACTAAAACTAAATCTATCCCTATGAATAACATGGGGATGTATGTATATCTATATAACTATATAACTAAAACTAAATCTATTCCTATGAATAACATGGGTATCTATGTATATCTATATAACTATATAACTAGAACTAGAACTAAATCTATTCGTATGAATAGCATGGTTATATTTCTGCATTTATATTATAAGTCGAATTAGGCAGCTACTCATTAAACGTTTCTCATAACTTCATTCTTATATATTTTATTTAGCATTTCACAGTCGCTTTAATCGACGAGTTCAAGTTAATCATCCAAACATTCGGTCGTTCATAAAGTTTCTACAAGGAGAAGAAAATCATTTTCACCACTTAAGTATTCAATTTCATGCAGGTTTAGGAACACGACCAAAGCAAATCAAAACAATTGCAATTCAACGTCGTATCGATAATCTTGGTGAACGCTATTATGATGGTGTTATAAATGCTATGGAATACTTAGATGGCTTATCATTCATCGTTGCAAAACGAAAAAAATGATTTTTTAAATTAATTTCTTCATTCATACATTTTTTTTCTATTAACATAGGTTAGTGTTAGCATAAAAAATAAAGAACGTCTCTTCTATTTCAAGATTTTCTAACAAGAATAATGAGCCATTTTCTTAATGTATATTTTTTTTGGACATTTTTCCCTTTCGGCATTTTTCCTTTCGACATTTTTCCCTTTCGGCATTTTTCCTTTCGACATTTTTCCCTTTCGGCATTTTTCCTTTCGACATTTCTACTGCCAACCGAAAATACGTGATATCGTTTTTGATTGATTGTAAACACGAAATAAAAGTTCTATGTTAACCGTTGATATTAAACAATAATTTTGAAATACAAATTAGCCTATAAAGACGCTTTCCTATGAAGAATACACAAGTAAGATGTGATTTATGTGTAATAGTAAGAAAATAACAAGAATACATACTGATTGTACAGAATAGCAGTCTTTTATAGGCGCAAGGTCTCATTGCCAGTTGGAAATGTCGAATCTTTTCATCATGTCATTATTATGTCTCTTTTCTTCAACGTCGAGTATTCACATAATTTTGACTAGGTTTTTTCTTCATTTCTTTTATGAAACCACAGCTGCTGGCATAAACCGATTTCTCGATCTGTTGTCGTCAAAAGAACAAGAAAAAAGTTGACTCATTCTACGGAAGAGACAGTCTTTTATTTGCCTATTGCTGGAATGTCTTGAGGGTGTTGATGTAGCAGTGGACGATATGACCCATCGATCGAGAAATCGTTCCGCTTTGAGGAGAAATGCTTTACCTTACATAAAATCACGCAGAATAAGGGGAAATGGAAAAAATAACATATAGATATACATATATATACACATATATCGATCACTCATCCTTCTTCTACGTATACTCCACTTCTCCTAACGCCATGTAGTCGATTATTGCATTATCATGTAATTATTGCCATTATTTTCCATTATATTGCATTATAATAGAAAATAATGGCAATAATTACATGATAATGCAACAATCGACTACATGGGTAAGTGTCATTCATTACTATCGAAAAAAAAAAGAAATCGTTCATACATTTCTTCTTGAAACTATGCCAATTCTGCTATATAAAATTCATTTCTGCTAGAACTTCTCCTTAATGTGGCAAAGGATTTTATTCATTTCTACTTATATTATAGAAGATTTCTTTCCATTGTTCCTTATCTATTATAAATTCCTCTTGAAGAAGCAGGAAATCGTTCATACATTTCTCCTTTTATATTATACTTTGGTGCTGGAGAAGGGAGAAATGCTTTATATATTTCTTCTAGAAAAGGTTCTATTTCTGCTATACTGTTTTTTCCTATTTAGTTGTTAAGCTGGGTATGGGCATGTTTTTCTCTATTTAAAGCATCTTTGCTTGACTTTGTATCGGATGAAGTTTTTCTTCTTGAATGGGAACGATTCGAGATTTTGGGGGATATAGTCCAGCCCTCATCTCTCCCTAGTATTGCTGATCTAAATGGCATAAAAGCATTATTATTACCATCATCGATCAAAGACAAAAATATCACATTTCTTCTTAAGAATATTTCTCGTCTGGAAAATCTCTCAATTGATAATGTAAGATTATTTTTCTTTCAGTTTCGATTGTATTAAACATTTACACAATGAAAACATTATTAGTCAGATCTAGTTTTGTTGTTGTTCTATTGAATAATATATCTTCATTTTCAATGATTGTCTTATGTTTCAATAGAGTCAGATAAATAGACCACATCTCTCCATCCCTTCAAGGTCACTGATGACATTTAATTTTTTTTAATCGAACTGCTCTAATTTATTTTACTCGAAAGCAATCAATTTTATAAGAAACAAGAAAGTTTATTGACGAAGAATCTTTTTAGAGTATCGATCAAAATTTTGCCGATTTTCTTCAATAAACTCGAAACGTTCGACTTGAACAGATTCGTCAACTTACTATCTGTAATCTTTATGTTGTTAACAATCTATATATTACTAACCGAATTCGTCGTCTTTTTCGATGTGTCCAACAATTGAATGTATCGATCAGAAGAATAGACGATATGATTGCGTTAATAGATGGATTCAAATGATTATCGAATACATCATTCACTTTAAAACCATTATCAAATAATGACATACAACGTTTATGGCAAAAGGTAAAAAACAGTCACTAATGGAACTTATCGTTTAGAAGATTCATATCTTCATGTTTGGATCGACAACCAGATAAATATTTCGTATGCAAAACTTATTACAAGTATTAGTTGGACGCAGCGATTATAAAACGAGTGGCATCGTTTTAATTTCATGTTGAGTCAAGATTCAGGGTGTCGCTGTAGCGTGGGTGTGGATGTGGGTATGGGTTAAAGAAGAAAAACACCCACACCCCAAAAAATCAATGTTTTACTTTTACAGTAACCTGATCAAGATGCTATATAAGTGAAATACAGAAAAAGACAAAACAAATATGAATTGATTCACATGAAATTGTTTATTTTTAGGGAAACGTAGCGTGAAAAAAGTTTAATTACTTTAGAAACTATTTTTCGAAGTTATGATATCGAATATTTATGTATAGATGATCCTGATGAATTAATTTTAATTATGTGTAGTGGCCAACAGCATGCGCGTGAGTGTCAAGTGGTGCAAAAAGTTTTAAGAGAAGAATACAATAAAAAAAAACTTGGGAAATTTGATGCCGACTACCATTCCATATCATTTTTATTTATATTTTTGTTTTTAACCCTTTGAGGACCGGTGGTCCAAAAATGGACCACCTATTTTT